ATGAAAACACAGAGGAAAGCTGGAGTAGTGGGCAGGAATGTAGCTCAGTGTCCCTCCCACGCCAGGCCTGGGCAGAGCCCGGGAGCTCTTACACCAGGGCAAAGCCCCCCACCCCGGACGGCTTTCCAGACCGCTGCGCCCTCAGCGCCTTGCCAAGTGACCTGGAAGCTCTCAGTGGCCAGTGGGCAGGGAAAGCAGCCAAGGCCGTCCTCCCAGTGGCACCGAGCAAGGATGGGGCCTGCTCTGAGGAGCTCTCAGACATCTGCAGCCTCCTAGAGCTGCCCCAAGAAGAACGCAGCGGAGACCAAAGGTGGAGGAGGAGAGAAAAGAGGCTCCCCGTGCCCATGCCACGGGAGGCATGGTCAGAGCCCTGGGACCTTCAAGTGCCCACACCCAGAGCCCGTGCCCCAGTTCGTGGCAGCAGCAGCCCTTACATTAGGCCACAGGCCCCGAGCCCGGACGCCTGCCCCCCCAGCCCCTCGCCAAGCCAGCTGTCAGCTCCCAGTGGGCAGTGGGCAGGGCTCCCGCACGTCTCCAGGGACTCTGCAGGGCAAGAAAACACAGACCCACCGCTGTCCCCGGAAGAAGACAGCCACGAGGAGGAGCTGTCAGAGAAGAAAGGGGACGGCATCAAAATATACACCATCTGGGTCAAGCCCTCCCTCATTCCGGTGCTGCTGGAGCCTCAGCCTGCTGGCCAGGAAGGGCCCAAATGTCCCTGCGTCATCTGCGCAGAGGCGGCCCAAGAGGCAGTCGGGGACCCGCGCGGCACATCTCCTGCCCCGGCGGGTCCCAGGCACAGCCGGCCAACGGCTGCTGCCCCGCAGCGCCCCACAGGCTGCTGCCCCGCCGTGCTGGACACGCTGCAGCGCGCGGCACGTGCCACCCTGAGCAGGATCGCAGCTGTGATCCGGCGACGGGGCCGGCGGCCGGGGGAACAGCGGCACCCGGCTCAAGGCATGGACGCAGCCATGCTGGCAACAGCCCCAGCAGCAGGGGCAGAGAGCCAGGCAGCTGCCCTGCGCAGCCCCTGCCGCCTCCCCAGCCTCTCGCCCAGCCGACTGGAAGCTCGCAGGGGGCAGTGGGCAGGGGTAGCAGCGCAGACGCTCCTGCCCCTGCCACAGAGCCAGGAGGGGGCCTGCTCTGAGGACCAGAGCCTCTGGGACATCTCCAGCCTCTTAGAGCGCTGCCAAGGCCCAGAAAACACACCCCAAAGCTGCAGTAGTGGCGCAGCAAGTAGCTCTGGCTCCCTCCCATCTGAGGCATGGTCAGAGCCCTGGGACTCTTCATCGGCCACGTCCACATCCACCTCCACGGACTGAGCTGCTGGGGGCAGGCTGGCACGTGGCCTTACCACCTGCAGCTGCACTTGAAGGAAGAGGCCTTTTTCCAACTAGACAAAGCCCAAAGAAGAACTTGGGGCAACTGCAGGCCCTCAGGGGGGCCACTTGCTGGCAGGACGACTTGCTGGCGTGGGACAGACAGTCTTTGGAGCGCTGGCGAGTCAAGCCCTCACCTACAGCTCTCTCAGCACAGCGGCCCTCTCTCTTCAGGGAGGCACTCCGGGCTCTGCGCAGGGCGTCCCGCTGGCCCTGCCTGGCGGGACGGGATGGCGGCTCCCAGGGGGTGGCGGTGACCGGACTGACATCCACCTGATGGCCGGTCACCAGTGGTGTCGCCCAGGGCTCGGTGGTGGGGTCAGTCCTCTTGGTCTCTTGCCTTGGATTGCCCAGTCATCCAGGACTTCACCTGACTGCCACCATTTTTCCAAAACCATGGCTAGTGGCCTAGCAACTTCGTCTGCCAGCTCCCTCAGGACCTGCCGATGGAGCTCAGCGGGTCCCTTGTGCGCATTCAGGTGCCTTCCACGCTCTCCAACCTGATCCTCTGCTGCAGGGGACTTAGGCTCTTCTTCTGCCAGTCCCTGCCTTTGCCTTTCTCCACCTGGGCGGCGTGGCTGGAGCGCTTGCTGTCCAAGGCTGAAGCACAGAAGACATCGAGAGCCTCAGCCTTCTCTTTGTGCCGGACAGCCACGTCTGCCAGTTCCTTCTGGAGAGGGCCCACCTTCTCCCTAGGCGGTCTTTAGAAAGATAGCCTTAGAAGCCCTTCTTGTTCTCCTGGAGAGCTCTGGCCAGACTCAAGTCGAGCTGGGCCTTGGCTTTCCCACCCTTGTCCCCAGCTTCCCTACCCTTGTCCCCAGCTTCCCTACCCTTGTCCCCATCCTCCCAGGCCACCTGTCCTTGTTTCCATTCCCTCAAATAGGAGAAGTCCCGTTAAGTTCTGTAGCTTCAAGTAGGGGTAGGCAAGAATTAGTCCAGTTAAGTCCCATAGGGTAAAGTAGGGCTAGGTCTTCCTAGTGCTCTCCACTTGAATTTCAAAGGACAAACTAAAGGCCGCCTCATGCTTTCTAGTCCCGCTTCATGACAAAAATTACCAGCGGTGCTTTAGCAGGGGCGCTGACCTAGGAGAGCCTAGTGCTTAAGGTAGACTTGGGGAAGTTTAAAATAAAGATTGGTTTCCACAGAGAAGAGTCAGGATGCTTGTTTTCAGAGGTGGGCTGAATAAAGGAAACAACAGACCTTATCCCCAGGAAAGAAAGCCTGCAACCTTTGGCTTTCAGGTGCAGTTTGTGGGCCAGCCTGGACACTCCATGGGGAGCAACAGCTTTCTGTCCTAGCACCTTTGGTCTGGGAGGAATCTTTGTCCATATGGAATTCTGGCAATCAGACAGCCTAACCCTAACCCAATCCCAAAACCATAACCCTAACCCTAACCGTAAACCTAACCATAACCCAAACCCTAAACCATAACTAACCCTTAGCCTAACCCTAACAATAAACCCTAACTGTAACCCTAATCCTAACCCTAACCCTAACTCTAACCCTAAGTAACCCTAAAACAACCTGTAACTCTAAACCTAACACTATCCCTAACTCTAACCCTGACCCTAATCGTAACTAAGTCTAAACTTCACCCTAAACTTAACCCTAATTCAAACCTCTAACCCTAATGATTGCCCTTCCACCCAGGAAAGAAAGCCCTGACCCTCCATCTCTCATGTGCATTTGGTGCGCCACGCTCAGCACTGCGTGGACAGAAAGAGCTTTATAGGTAGGCACCTTTGGTCTGGGAGGAATCTTCGTCCACATGCAATTTTGGGAGTGGGACTGGCAGTTCAGCACAGGGTTGAAAAAAGCAAACAACAGCCCCTATCCTCAGCAAAGAAAGCCTGCAACTTTTGATTCTCTGGTGCAGTTGGTAGGCCAGCCTGGGCACTACATGGGCAGCAAGAGCTTTGTGTCCTGGTACCTTTTGTCTAGGAGGAATCTTCGTCCGTATGCAATTTTGGGCATCAGATCGGTCATTTCAGCACAGGATTCCTGAAATTCAACAACACTGCTTTATCACAGGTAAGAAAGCACTTACCGTTGTGCTTTGTGGTGCAGTTGGTGAGTGAGCTTTGGCACTCCATGGGCAGCAAGAGCTTTCTGTCCTGGTACCTTTTATCAGGGAGGTATCCTCATCCATATTCAATTTTTGGAGCTGGACTGCCTATTTCAGCTCTATGATTTCTGCAAGCAAACATCAGTCTTTTTTTCCTGGAAAGAAAACCCTTACCTTCATGGTTTCTAGTGCAGTTGGTAGGCTAGCCTGGGCACTCCATGGGCAGTAAGCATTCTCTGTCCTAGCATCTGAGCAGACCAGCTCAGCTCAGCTGCCCTTGAAGGCCTTCTGAGGTGACCAAGAAAGGAGCTGAGGTTCTTTGTCCAAGATTTATACTCCATGGAGAAGCTCCTCCCTGCTCAGCCCAGTTCAGCCCAGCTGCTCTGCAAGCTCTAATCATCTGATCATTGGTTGGAGCTGAGGGCATTTGTGGGAGATTTAAACTGCTGCGAGAAAGTGCTCCCAGTTCAGCCCAGCTGCCTTGCAAGGCATAATCAGCTCACCAGGGGATGGAGTCCTGGTTGTTTCTGGGTAATATAAACTGGTCCAGGGAGTGCAAGCGACCTCAAATGTGGCCAACAGGAGCAGGCAAATGTGGGTGTGGCTTGTTAGGGAGGGCGTGGCAGGGCAGTTTGGGCAGCAGGTTGCCCAGGCAGGGTGAGCAGGAACAGCACAGCCACCCTCCCAGCTCTCTCTGGTGGCCTGTGAGGTAGGTCTGTGGCTGTGTTTTTGTGGAGTCGCAGTGCCAATTTCAACGCAGGGATCCAAAAACTGAATGGCGGCAGTTCCAAACCAGAAAGAAAGCCCTTACCCTACATCTCTCGTGCAGTTGGTGGGCCACTCTTGGTACTCCATAGGCAGCAAGAGCTTTCTGTCCTGGCACCTTTTGTCTGGGAGGAATCTTCATCCATGTTTGATTTTGGGAGTGGGACTGGGAATTCCAGCGCAGGGCTCTGAAAAGGCAACAATAGCCCTTTCCCCCAGGAAAGAAAGCCTGTAAGCTTTGGGTTTCAGGTGCAGTTGGTGGGCCAGCCTGGGCACTCCATGGGCAGCAAGAGCTTTCTGTCCTGGCACCTTTGGTCTGGTAGGAATCTTCGTCCATGTTCAGTTTTTGGAGTCGGACTGACAATTACAGTGTAGGGCTGAAAAAAGGGAACAACAGCCCTTTCCCCTCAGGGTCTCCCCCAGCCCCACCCACCTGCCTGGCATCAGCACAGCCCTGAAGGAGCTCCACAGGAGCCACCTCCGGAGGCACCTCCCAGCCCTCAGCAATCCAGACAGGAACACATGCGTGGGCAGGCCAGAGATGCTGCTTCCTGGCTGGGACAGGGCACCTCCAAGGACCAGGTTCCCAATGATCCCCATAGCTCCAGGCTCTGCCCATCCACTCTGTCAGAAGTGCTGAGGTTCCAGCAGAACCCCCCAAGGCCAAGGGGCTTTGGGGCACTTTCTCTTCCCCAATGCACACCTGGGCAAGTGTTGCTGAGCACGAGGAGCCCTTTCCCCCTCTTTCCAGATGCCCTGTGGACACCAGGCACCTAAAAAAGCTCCTGGGCTTCTGTGTATGACATTATTTATTTAATATTCCTATGCTAAGGTAAAAAGAAAGGCTTGCGGAGAAGCATCTTCCCCACAGGCTCAGGTGGCTCAAACAGACAGAGCTGCCAGGATCAACTCTCCACACAGCTACAGCAGACACAGCCCCACAGAGAAGGCAGGCTGTTCCATGCCCTGCAGAGCTGGTCTTGGAGCTGCTGGAACCTGGAGGGGGGAGCTCTAGCTCTCTGTACAGCTCTAACAAAGTCGATGTTTTCAAGTGCCAGGTTTGAGACAGCGGGGCTCCTGTCATTTCTCGTGGCTTGAAGGGCTGGAACAGAGAGGAACAGAGCCAAGGTCAGAGCCCACATTAGTGGGGATCTGAGGAGCTCCTCCTGCCAGGGCCATCCCACCAAGCTCTTGCCATTGCCAGGAGGGAGCAGGGCCCAGCGGGATCAGCCAGAAGGCGTTGGCCATTTATACCCCCCATGCCCCTGAAATCTGTCTCTGCTCTGCCCACGCTGCCCCTCGTCTGTGCAGGGAGCAGAGCCCTCCACAGCTGGGGCAGGATTGCAGCTCCCTGCCCAGAGTCTGTGCTCCTCTGCCAGCCCCCACTGCCTTCACTCACCGTCAATGATGAGCTGCAGCTCTTTGTGCTGTCCCCTCAGGTACCCCCCGGCGATCCCTGGGAACACAGATGGTGTCACGGCCCCAGCGGCACAGCTCCCCCCCAGCTGTGCTGCCAGCCCAGCCACATGCCCTCCTGCCCCCACAGAGCTGAGCCTGGGGCCTTCCCGCCTCAGGACATGCCAAGGCTGGGCTGGCAGAAGGCGGCAGCAGCCACCAGGGCACTCGGGGCTCCACAGCACATCCCTGGGCCGCATCCTGCTGCCGCTGCAGCTGCCAGGGCTGGGGCTGAGCTGCAGCGGGGCAGGGAGGGACCGTAGGCTTGTGGCTCACCCATGAACTTGATGGCTGCCTCTCGCAGGGGCTGCTGTGGGCTCCGCAGGTACGGCAGGGCCTGGTGAACGTACTTGGCCACTCGGCTCTGGTCCCTTTTCAGCTGCAGAGAGCGGCAGGGCACGTTGGGAAGGGTTGGCTGGGGCTCTGCCCATTGGCCGGGCGCTGCCTGTGCCCAGCACTGGCCTCCCCTGCCCGCACAGCCCTGAGGCCCAGGCAGCAGCCGCTGGGGCTGGGCTTTGGAGGGAGCAGAGGGCCGGCTGCTCCCCAGGAGCCATGGGGCTGCCCTGCCCCACAGCCCAGCTGGGCCGGGGCTCCAACAGCACCCTGGCTCAGGGGCAGAGCAGCCTGCAGAGGAGCCCACATGCCCCAGGGAAGGCAGCAGCGTGTGGGGCGCAGGCTGCTGTCCCACAGGCGGGTGCAGCAGTGGGCAGGGGCACAATGCCAGCCCCACACTCTGGGCATCGGGGACTGGGGCTTTGGGGCTGTCCTTACCAGGCACTCGCCAAACTTCCATGGCTCCTCTGTGTTCACCAGGCGCCCAAGATCCCTCCTCTTTAGGAACCTGGTCACAGCCAGCAGTGCTTTCTGAGAGGCCTGCAAAGCAACAGAGACCAGGAGATGGCACTGCAGCCCAGGGCACAAGACCCATGTCCCTGGACCAAGGCCAGGAGGAGGCTGGAGCCCAGGAGGTGCCAGGGCAAGAGGCAGCCCAGCCCCCTCCCACGGGGACACCAGAGCTCACGAGTCCTCACCTTTTTCACGACCAGGTTCTCATCATACCGGTGGAAGTAGAGCGGGAGCAGGCTCAGGCACACGTGTGGCTTCAGGGGCCTCTTTCCCACTCTCTCCATCAGTTTCATCAAAAGAGTGAAGATGACAATGGAGCCCTCCCACACACTGCTGTCATCCTGGTGGAAAGAAAGAGGAAAAGACCTCAGCACCAGCTTCTCCAGGCCCCACTGGGCACAGGCCTCAAAATCCACAGGGACCAGTTTCTCAGCAGTACCCAGAGCCCAGGGAGGGGGGCACAGAGCCTTACGTGGTCAAACAGTGGCCGGAGCGCCTCAGCCAACTGCAGGGCAGTGGGGGTGGATATTAGGGGGTCTTCGCTGTGGACTCTCTTCTGGAGCTGTGTCCAGAGACGGCTCCAGAGCACATTGTCGAGCACAGAGAGGGTCATCCAAACCACATCTCTGTCTGCATCCCCCAGTAGCTGCAAAAGGCTTTCATTCAGGCTCCAGATGCTCTTGGCCTGTAAGGAACACAATGCTGTGCTGTGAAGCCATGAATGGCTGCATCACCAACCCTGCTCCAGCGGGGCAGCCCCACGTGCTGCTGCAGGGCCCAGAGGCCAAAGGCCTGTCCCGAAGGACTTGGGCAGCTGAACGGGGAGGCAGCAGAGCTGAGAGCAGCTGCCACAGCTCCTGAAGCCCAGCCAAGCCCAAGCGACTGTGTTCCCCAGCCCCAGGATTCCAGCACGGCTTCAGCCAACTGCCCCTTCTCACCATCTCGGGATCCTGGCTGAGTGCTACGAGGACTCTGAGGGCCAGTTGACGCCACTTTTTGTTCGTGCTCCCCAAGTTCCTTGAAAGGATCTCCAGGACTCTGTCACCACATTCTCTCGTGTCCAGGCAGTCCAGGACCTGAAAGGCATGGAGCAGTGACGGGGTGCCTGGCTGGCAGGAGCCCGGACCCACATAGGACTGGGCCCAGGCAGCAGCACAGGGCGCGGCACCATCCCGGGCAGCTGCGGCTGCGAGAGGCCAGAGAGGTGGAGGCAGCTCGGTGAGGCAGCGCTCGCCATCAGGCTCACCTCCACAAGGAATGCCACGGCAGGGAGGTCCCAGCACGGCTCCTCCCTGCGCAGCAGCTCCAGCAGGTGGAGTGTGATCCGGGAACACAAGGGGCTGGAGAAACGGTGCATCTCCCTGGCAGGGGGAAAAAGGTATCATCAACCTGAGCCAGGTGGGCAAACCTCTCCTGGGATGGACTCACAGAGGCCTGGTCTTTCCCCACCAGCCTGGGAGGGGACAAGGGCACTCTGGGAGGCGGCTCCTCCTGTGCACCTGCCTCTCCCAGCCTTTTCCACTCTGCTCGGCCATCCCTCGGTGACAAGGCCCACATGTGAGGGGTGCCCCGTGCACAGACAGAAATGACAGAGCAGCGGGGACAAGGGGGTCTCACCTGGCCAGCAGAGCTGCTGCGTAGCGGCGGCTGCGAGCATTGAGGAGCCTCGCCCAGCCACGATTGTTTTCCACCGAATTCACCACATCCTCACAGTGCAGACAGCACAGCAAGGCCTTCATGGTCAGCACTGCAAACCTGTGTGCAGAGCAAAGCCCAGGTCATGTTGGGAGCCCTGGCCCCAGCCCCGAGGGCATGGGAGGGAGGGGAGGACTGGGATGGAGCACCTGTTGGGGTTGGTGGGAAGGTCGTGTTGCTCCTGGCATCCCCTCCAGAAGTTGTCGACCTCCTCTGACATCTGCTCTGTGCTGATGAATATTTGGAACAGCAGAGCCACGAGGAGATGGGGGGAATAGTCCATCAACGGCCCTGGGCACTGGGGCTCTTGGACAATCATCCACAATGCCAGAGTTGCCTGCAAAAGACAAACCAGCTGGACACAGCGCTCAGTGCCCAGACTTCCATGTGGCAGGACCCAAGCGTGGGAGGGGAAGGCCAGGGGAGACTCAGGGGGAGTGCCCAGCCTGGTGCCCCTGAACCTGCTCCTAGCCCACATTTCCATCCCAGTGCCTACAGGGAGATGGGCAGGGATATGCTGTGCTGGGGAAGGATGGAGACCTGCCAGAGAGGCAACCTGGGGGGCAAGCAAAGGTTCCAGAAACTCACAGCCAAGGCAAAGATGGCTGTGTTGTCCCCATCAGAGGTGGATGTGCTGTGCCATGGCCAGTCCTCCATCACGCGGAGCAGTGTTGGCAGCACCTTCCCCAGTGTTTTTCCTGATGAGGCGATGGTCCTCCACATGGTTGCAGCAGCTCTGTGGAGTCAGAGCTCTGCATCAGGGGGGGTCTCGACCACAGTGCCCTGACCTGGGCAGCTGCAGGGGCCAGGTGACAGAGCCACAGTGCTTTCAGGGGCTGGGGGGGTGATGGGCTCTAAAGGCTGGTGAGCCCTAAGCCCTCAAGGTTGGGGCCCATACCTGTCACACGAGGGGGCACAGCGTAGGAGGGTGATGGCGACATCCATGGGGTGTGCCTCGGTCAGTGCTAGAAGGGTCTTATCTAGCACGTGCCCAGCAGACACATTGGAGGTCAGCCACCGATGGATGGACCTCACCACAGCTGGCACCTGGAGGGGACACAAGGGAGAGTTGGAGAGCTGCCAGAGAGAGCAATTCCCCAGCTTCCTCCCAGAAGTGCTTCCCTTCCCACCTCACTCTGCTGACCTCAAACGCTGAGGGGGCCCAGCAGATCAAGCTTGAGGGCCCATACAATGCCTGCAGACAGGATGCTTACTTGAGCAGAGATAACTCTGTCCCCAGAAAAGTCCAGATTGGGAGCATCTGGCAGGCGCTGAATGGGTGCGCTGTCAGAGTCTGAGATGCCCTCAGTCCCTGGGGCATCAGCCTTGGCCTTGAGCTTGGTTGGGTTGGGCTCAGGCTGTGCCAACACCTCAGTTGGTGAGGCGCTGGCCTTTCTGCGGCGAACAGGAATGGATTTCCGCACCCTCTGCAGGAGAACAAAGGGCAGGGAAGAGAGGGATGTGCCATGGAGAGCTCCGACAGTGGTGCCAGACAGAGCAGTGACAGCAGGCCCAGCCCAGGGGGCGATGGCTGCAGGTACCTGATCAGCTCTGCGGAAGCGGTCACGGGCACAGTCCTGCTTTTTTGTCTGGTGCCGGCCTGGATCTGGCAAAGAGCGAGCACGATCAGAGCTGAGGGGCTATGGGACAGGCAGGAGAACACAGCCCAGCCCTGCGCTCCACAGGCAGGGCCAGCCCTGGCCTGCCCAGTGCATGGAGCTGCAGGAGGATCAGCCCTGGGCCCTCTTCGCCCCTCCCTTTCCCTGGCCATGTCCATAGAGGATGGGATGAGAAGAGGCCCATCTGGCTGCAGCCACCAGCCCTGTGGCCCAGCTCTGCCACTCACCCTCCTGCAGGGGCTGGAACTGCTCCACCTTCTTAGGCTGCAGTGCTGGGGCAGCCCCAGGGCTTTCCTCCTCCCCTTTTTTCACCCAGGCCAACTTGGGCACTCTGGGGGGTCTCCGCTCCACGTCTCTGTCTGCCTTCCTGGTTTCCTGCAGGAGACATGGCACTCTGGGTCACCAAGTTCTGCAGAAGTGCCATGAAAGCTCCTGCAACAGAGGAGCCTTGGGAATGCTCTGGGTCATCAAATCTCATAGTCTGGCCAGGGGGGGACATGGGGCAGTTGAATAGCTGCCAGAGGGGGCAATTTGCCCACTGTCTCTCGAGAAGTCCTTCCCTTCCCACCACACTGTGATGGCCTCAGAGGCTGAGGGCGCCCAGCAGAGCCGGCTTGAGGGGCCATACAATCCCTACCCACAGGCTGCTTACTTGAGCAGAGACAACTCTCTTCCGAAGAACATGCAGGCTTGGGGCATCAGGCAGGCGCTGAACGGGTGTGTTGTCTGCGTCTGCGATGCCCTCAGTCCCTCGGGCATCAGCCTTGGCCTTGAGCTCCATTGGGCTAGGGTCAGGCTTTGCCATGACTTCAGATGATGAGGCCCTGGTCTTTCTGCGCTGAATGACCACGGATTTCTGCAAACTCTGAAGGCGAACGAAGGGCAGGGAAGAGAGGGATGTGCCATGGAGAGCTCCAACAGTGGTGCCAGACTGAGCAGTGACAGCAGGCCCAGCCCAGGGGGGGATGGCTGCAGGTACCTGATCAGCTCTGCGGAAGCGGCCACGAGCACAGTCCTGCTTTTTTGTCTGGTGCCGGCCTGGATCTGGCAAAGAGTGAGCGTGGTCAGAGCTGAAGGGCTGCGGGACAGGCAGGAGAACACAGCCCAGGCCTGCGCTCCACAGGCAAGGCCAGCCGCGGCTTGCTCAGTGCATGGAGCTGCCGGGGGATCAGCCATGGGCCCTCTTTCCCCTCTCCCTTTCCCTGGCTATGTCCAGAGGAGATGAGATGGGAAGAGGCCCATCTGGCTGCAGCCACCAGCCCTGTGGCCCAGCTCTGCCACTCACCCTCCTGCAGGGGCTGGAACTGCTCCACCTTCTTAGGCTGCAGTGCTGGGGCAGCCCCAGGGCTTTCCTCCTCCCCCTTTTTCACCCAGGCCAACTTGGGCACTCTGGGGGGTCTCCGCTCCATGTCTCTGTCTGCCTTCCTGGTTTCCTGCAGGAGACATGGCACTCTGGGTCACCAAGTTCTGCAGAAGTGCCATGAAAGCTCCTGCAACAGAGGAGCCTTGGGAATGCTCTGGGTCATCAAATCTCATAGTCTGGCCAGGGGGGGACATGGGGCAGTTGAATAGCTGCCAGAGGGAGCAATTTGCCCACTGTCTCTTGAGAAGTCCTTCCCTTCCCACCACACTGTGATGGCCTCAGAGGCTGAGGGCGCCCAGCAGAACCGGCTTGAGGGGCCATACAATCCCTACCCACAGGCTGCTTACTTGAGCAGAGACAACTCTCTTCCGAAGAACATGCAGGCTTGGGGCATCAGGCAGGCGCTGAACGGGTGTGTTGTCTGCGTCTGCGATGCCCTCAGTCCCTCGGGCATCAGCCTTGGCCTTGAGCTCCATTGGGCTAGGGTCAGGCTTTGCCATGACTTCAGATGATGAGGCCCTGGTCTTTCTGCGCTGAATGACCACGGATTTCTGCAAACTCTGAAGGCGAACGAAGGGCAGGGAAGAGAGGGATGTGCCATGGAGAGCTCCGACAGTGGTGCCAGACTGAGCAGTGACAGCAGGCCCAGCCCAGGGGGGGATGGCTGCAGGTACCTGATCAGCTCTGCGGAAGCGGTCACGAGCACAGTCCTGCTTTTTTGTCTGGTGCCGGCCTGGATCTGGCAAAGAGCGAGCACGATCAGAGCTGAGGGGCTATGGGACAGGCAGGAGAACACAGCCCAGCCCTGCGCTCCACAGGCAGGGCCAGCCCTGGCCTGCCCAGTGCATGGAGCTGCAGGAGGATCAGCCCTGGGCCCTCTTCGCCCCTCTTTTTCCCTGGCCATGTCCATAGAGGATGGGATGAGAAGAGGCCCATCTGGCTGCAGCCACCAGCCCTGTGGCCCAGCTCTGCCACTCACCCTCCTGCAGGGGCTGGAACTGCTCCACCTTCTTAGGCTGCAGTGCTGGGGCAGCCCCAGGGCTTTCCTCCTCCCCTTTTTTCACCCAGGCCAACTTGGGCACTCTGGGGGGTCTCCGCTCCATGTCTCTGTCTGGGTCCATGGCTACCTGCAGGAGACATGGCACTCTGGGTCACCAAGTTCTGCAGAAGTGCCATGAAAGCTCCTGCAACAGAGGAGCCTTGGGAATGCTCTGGGTCATCAAATCTCATAGTCTGGCCAGGGGGGGACATGGGGCAGTTGAATAGCTGCCAGAGGGGGCAATTTGCCCACTGTCTCTCGAGAAGTCCTTCCCTTCCCACCACACTGTGATGGCCTCAGAGGCTGAGGGCGCCCAGCAGAGCCGGTTTGAGGGGCCATACAATCCCTACCCACAGGTTGCTTACTTGAGCAGAGACAACTCTCTTCTCAAGAACGTGCAGACTGCGAGCATCAGACAGGCGCTGAATGGGTGTGCTGTCAGCGTCTGGGATGCCCTCAGTCCCTCGGGCATCAGCCTTGGCCTTGAGCTTGGTCGAGTTGAGCTCAGGCTGTGCCAAAACTTCAGTTGGTGAGGCGCTGGTCTTTCTACGGCGAACAGGAACAGATTTTTGCAACCTCTGCAAGAGAACAAAGGGCAGGGAAGAGAGGGATGTGCCATGGAGAGCTCCAACAGTGGTGCCAGACTGAGCAGTGACAGCAGGCCCAGCCCAGGGGGGGATGGCTGCAGGTACCTGATCAGCTCTGCGGGAGTGGCCACGGGTACGGTCCTGCTTTTTTGTCTGGTGTCGGCCTGGATCTGGCAAAGAGCGAGCATGGTCAGAGCTGAGGGGCTGCGGGACAGGCAGGAGAACACAGCCCAGGCCTGTGCTCCACAGGCAGGGATGGCCCCAGCATGCCCAGTGCATGGAGCTACGGGGGGATCAGCCCCTGGTCCTCTTCCCCCCCCTTTCCTTGGAGATGTCCACAGGATGGAATGGGATGGGAAGAGGCCCATCTGGCTGCAGCCACCAGCCCTGTGGCCCAGCTCTGCCACTCACCCTCCTGCAGGGGCTGGAACTGCTCCACCTTCTTAGGCTGCAGTGCCGGGGCAGCCCCAGGGCTTTCCTCCTCCCCTTTTTTCACCCAAGCCAACTTGGGCACTCTGGGGGGTCTCCGCTCCATGTCTCTGTCTGGGTCCATGGCTACCTGCAGGAGACATGGCATGGAGAAGCCTGACTCACTAAGTTCTGCACAAGTGCCTTGAAGGTACTTGCAATAGAGGAACCTTGGGAATGCTCTGAGTCATCAAGTTCCACAGTCTGGCCTGTAGGGGACATGGGGCAGTTGGAGAGCTGCCAGAAGGAGCAACTTGTCCACTTTCCCCCAAGGAGTCCTTCCCTTCCCACCATACTGTTGTGGGCTCGAAGGCTGAGAGGGCCCAGCAGACCCAGCTTGAGGGCCCACACAGTCCCTACCCACAGGGTGCTTACTTGAGCAGAGACAACTCTCTCCCCAAGAACGTCCAGGCTGGGAGCATCGGGCAGGTACTCAACGGGTATGCTGTCAGCATCTGCGATGCCCTCAGTCCCTGCACCATCAGTCTCCATGGTGAGCTCAGGCAGTGCCATGTTGGAGTTTGTCACGTGATCGGTCACCACAGTGTCACAGTTTGCTGTGCCATCAATTGACGCGGTGCCGACATCAGGGTCTGCCTTGAGCTCAGTCGGTGTGGGGCCAGGTTGTGCCATGACCTTGGTTGGTGATGTCCTGGTCTTTCTACACTGAATGCCCATGGATTTCCACACTCTCTGCAGGAGAACAAAGGGCAGGGAAGAGAGGGATGTTCCGTGGAGAGCTCTGACAGTGGTGCCAGGCTGAGCAGTGACAGCAGGCCCAGCCCAGGTGGCGATGGCTACAGGTACCTGATCAGCTCTGTGGAAGCAGCCACGGGCACAGTCCTGCTCTTGTGTCCGGTTCTGGCCTGGATCTGGCAAAGAGCGAGCGTGGTCAGAGCTGAGGGGTTGCGAGACAGGCCAGAGAACACAGCCCAGGCCTGCGCTCCACAGGCAGGGATGGCCCCAGCATGCCCAGTGCATGGAGCTGTGGGAGGATCAGCCCCAGGCCCTCTTCCCCCCTCCCTTTCCCTGGCCATGTCCATAGAGGATGGGATGGGAAGAGGCCCATCTGGCTGCAGCCACCAACCCTGTGGCCCAGCTCTGCCACTCACCCTCCTGCAGGGGCTGGAACTGCTCCACCTCCTCAGGGTGTTGTGCTGGGGCAGCCCCAGGGCTTTCCTCGTCCACTTTCTTCACCCAGACTAGCTTGAGCACCCTGGGGGGTCTCCGCTCCATGTCTCTGTCTGCCTTCATGGTTTCCTGCAGGAGACATGGCATGGAAATCTCTGGTCACCAAATCCTGCAGAAGTGCCTTGAAGGTGTCTGCAATAGAAGACTGTTTGGAACGCTCCAGGTCATCAAGTCCCACAGTCTGGCCTGGAGAGGACATGGGGCAGTTAGAGCTGCCAGAGGGAGCAATTCCCCAGCTTCCCCCGAAAAGTCCTTCCCTTCCCACCACATTGTGCGAGCCTCAAAGGTTGAGGGGGCCCAGCAGACCCAGCTTGAGGGGCCAGACAGTCCCTAGCCACAGGCTGCTTACTTCCACAGAGGTAACTCCCTCGTCAAGAATATCCAGAATGGGAGCATCTGGCAGGCGCTGAACGGGTGTGCTGTCAGCATCTGCGATGCCCTCAGTCGTTGCACCATCAGTCTCCATGGTGAGCTCAGGCAGTGCCATGTTGGAGTTTGTCACGTGATCGGTCACCGCAGTGTCACAGTTTGCTGTGCCATCAACTGACGCGGTGCCGACATCAGGGCCCGCCTTGAGCTCAGTCGGCGTGGGGTCAGGCTGTGCCATGACCTCAGTTGGTGTGATTCTGTACTTTCGACGCCGAACGCCCAACAATTTCAGAAAGGTCTGCGGGAGAACGAAGGGCAGGGAAGAGAGGGATGTGCCATGGAGAGCTCCAGTAGTGATGCCAGACTGACAGTAGGCTCAGCCCAGGGGGGGATGGCTGCTGGCACCTGTACTGCCCTGCGGAAGCGGCCACAGGCACGGTCCTGCTCTTGTGTCTGGTTCTGGCCTGGATCTGGCAAAGAGCGAGCGTGGTCAGAGATGAGGGGCTGTGGGACAGGCCGGAGAACACAGCCCAGCCCTGCGCTCCACAGGCAGGGCCAGCCCTGGTATGCCCAGTGCATGGAGCTGCCGGGGGATCAGCCCCAGGCCCTCTTCCCCCCTCCCTTTCCCTGGCCATGTCCATAGAGGATGGGATGGGAAGAAGCCCATCTGGCTGCAGCCACCAGCCCTGTGGCCCAGCTCTGCCACTCACCCTCCTGCAGGGGCTGGAACTGCTCCACCTCCTCAGGGTGTTGTGCTGGGGTAGTCCCAGGGCCTTCCTTCTTCTTCCGAAAGGGCCTGAGCAGGCTCAGGCGTCTTCCTACCATCCGACAGTCTGGTCTTGAGGGTACCTGCAAGAGAGAGACACCTCGGAAGATCTCCGGGTCACCAAGTCCTGCAGGCTGCCCTCGAGGCCACCTTCCACAGGGATTGGAGACTCCCCGGAAAATTTCCGGATCACCAATCCTGCGGTCTGGCCTCGAGGGCAACTGAATGAGAGAAAAGCCTAGGAAACACTATGGGTTATCAAGCTGTGCAGTGCGGCCTCAAGGGCACTTGCCACAGGGATTGGGGACACCTCACAAAAGCTCCGCGTCACCAAGTCCCGCGGTCTGGCCTCGAGGACACCTGCAACACAGAAACACCTCCAAAACGCTCCGGGTCAGAAAGGAAGGAGTTGACTGCGTGGGGGCTCCACACAGCACCGCTCTATCCCGTCTGTCCCGTCGCATGCTCCGAGGAGCACTGAGGCGTGGCCACGTCACCACCAGTACTATGTCAACACGTGTCACAAAGGCCCTGTGACATCCTGCCCTGTTCCATGCCATCGGCGATGCCCATCGTGTCTCGAAGGGCCCTGTGACACACTACCACGTGCCCTGGGGCCTCCCCCAGCCCAGCCACCTGCCCCAGGTCAGAAGGAGTCCGTTCTCCAAAGTATCTAAGACAGCTGGACACAAACTTTAGGCACAGCTCAAAAACTAAGCAAACCCTCCCCTGCTGTGCCTGCCCACGGCAGCAGAAGGAGCCCCCTCGGTTGCCAACGCAGCCGCAGCGGGAAGGGCACGAGGCCTCCACAGAAGCTGGCACGGGCTCCTTGGGAGAAGTGCCGGCTGGTGGCCCTCCCAAACACGGGGCTGTGACACACAGAAGGAATGTGGGGGCAAGGGCACCAGTGCTGCTCCAACCCTGTTGGTCGAGGCTACACCAAAATCAGCAGCTCTGGCAAGGCCTTGCCAAAGGAGACCTGCCACCGCCCCGAGTCCTGGCAGGAGTGGTGCCCGTCTCCTGCCCCAAAGAACTGTGCCCCTGGGGGACTTCTCTGCCAGAGGGCAGCCAAAGCCAACAGGCACTGATGTCTGTGCTCTTGCAGGGGGCTGTTGGGAGCAGCAGCTGGAGCAATTGGTGGCAGTGTTTGGCATCTGTCAGAACACAGGAGTAGTTTCTCCTTGCAGGAATGATTTTTGCATGGGAAGTGATGATCTGCAGCAGAAAACCACCATCAGTTGCTGCGTTTCACATGAAGATTAGATTGCTCAGAAATCCTGTCAAGCTTCCTTGTTTTTTTGGACTTTTTTTCTGCATTCCGCAAAATAAAAGCTGTCCAGTCTAATGTTCAAAGCTCCAGTTGCTGTGTGTCTGAATGCGACTCTCAGCTGATATCCAGGGCACTGGGGAAAAGCAAAGGGGATAGGGAGAACTCTGGGATGCAAACCTGTTCCGTGTCTCTGATTAAGGTGCCACCCCACTGGAAGGAGCAGCCAAGACAAGTGTTGGAAGCAGATGTGTTCTGCCAGTTGCTGCTCTGGCATGGACAGAGGGCACACGTGTTCCCATGGGTCCAGAACACTTGATCCAAGAACAATGAGGGGCCATGCATTGGTAGGGAATGGGCTCCAGCAAGCCCAAAGTAGGATCCTCTAGCAGCAAAACCTGAGCTTGTGAAATGGGCCATCTTTGCAGCAGACACCACAGTGCTGACTTCCCTCCATCCTGCAACCTGAGCCATATGAGGCCCTGCCTCAGCTTCTGCTGCTTCTTCCTTCCATTCCAGGAAGGCCTGGATTTAGAGTTTAGAAGCCCATGCATGTGTTTTTAAGGTGCCTGCATGGAGGAGACTTTCAGCAACTGCACCCCAAGGCTCATATCACAATCTCTAAGGATGGCCCCAGTGCCACTGCCTTGGGACACCTGAGTCTGGAAGGTGACTCTGCCCTCAGGCACGGCCACAGAAGTGAGCCAGGATGACAGGCTGCCCCTGAAGCTGCTAAGTGTTGTTGTGAGGCTGGGCAGTCAATAGAAAACTGTTGTGGCCACTTTCCCTGAAGCCTTTTCCTAACCACATGGAATTGTGTGCACAGTATCCCCACTTCTGGCATCCTGGCCGGTGTGGGTGCCTGGTGAGGAGGCCCAGGTATCGTGGGTGCTGCTGCTCCTGTGCACAGCCTGCTGCTGTTCTCTGTGACGCGGAGCTGCTTGGGCAGCAGCGACTGCGCAGCCCTGCCCCAGGAGCCCCGCGCCCTCTCCGTGCTGGCAGCAGCTCTGAGGGCCCAGAGCTCTGGCTCAGCAGGCTCTGGGCCACAGCCCCGTGGCCTGGGCAACCGTGGGGGCCCAGGCTGGCCCACAGCCCAGCCTCTGCCTCTGTTCCTCGCCGGCAGCACCCAGCAGAGGTGGCCCCGCAGGGCCCCCTTTTCCCTTTGTCCCCAGCCAGGCCAGTCTGGCCCCTTTGGAGGTGTCCCCACCCCCCTGCCAAGGCCCCCAGGGCTTCTGCCACAGGGATGGGAGACACCACTGGCAAGTGCCAGAGCAGCCGGCTGTCAGGGAACCAGGGGGCTGCCTGGGGGATGCTTATGGCCTCTCCCATGCATTGGTAGGGAATGGAAAGACCAAAGCCTGAGCCTCTAGCAGCAAAACCTGAGCTTGTGAACTGGGAACAAAGGAAAAAGAAGCAGAAGCTGAAGCAAAGCAGGGATTTTTACGGCTTGGATTCCTACTAGACAAAAGGTGCCAGGACAGAGAGCTCTTGCTGCCCATGGAGTGCCCAGGCCGGCCTACCAACTGCATCTGAAAGCCAAAGCTTACAGGCTTTCTTTCCTGGGAGAAAAAGCCTGTTGGTGGCTTTTTGAAGCACAGGGCTGAAAAAAACAAACAACAGCCCTTATCCCCAGCAAAGAAAGCCTGCAACCTTTGGCTTTCGGGTACAGTTGGTGGGCCAGCCTGGGCACCCCATGGGCAGCAAGAGCTTTCTGTCCTGGCACCTTTGGTCTGGCAGGAATCTTCATCTGTATGGAATTTTGGGAGTTGGGCTGGCAGCTGCAGTGCAGGGCTGAATAAATCAAACAACAGCCCTTATCCTCAGCAAAGAAAGCCTAGAACCTTTGGCTTTTGGGCGCAGTTGGTGGGCAAGAGTGGGCACTCCATGGACAGCAACCTTTGGTCTGGGAGGAATCTTGGCCCCTAGGCAATTTTGGCAGTCAAGTTGGCAGTTTGAGCGCAGGGCTGAAAAAAGCAAATGACAGCCCTTTTCTACAGCAAAGAAAGCCTGGCATCTTTATTTTTCTGATGTAGTTGGTGGGCCAGCCTGGGCACTCCATGGGCAGCAAGATCTTTCTGTCCTAGCACCTTTGGTCCAGCAGGAATCTTGGTCTGTATGCAATTTTGGAAGTGGGACTGGCAGTTTGAGCGCAGGGCTAAAAAAGCAAACAGCTCTTATCCCCAGCAAACAAAGCCTGTCAGATTTGGGTTTCTGGTGCAGTTGATGGGCCAGCCTGGGCACTACATGGGCAGCAAGAGCTTTGTGTCCTGGCACCCTTTGGTCTGGGAGGAATCTTTGTCCATATGGAATTTTCGGAGTGGGACTGGCAGTTTGAGTGCAGGGCTGAGAAAAGCAAACAGCCCTTATCCCCAGCAAAGAAAGTCTGAAACATTTGACTCTCTGGTGCACTTGGTGGGCCAGCCTGGGCACTCCATGGGCACCAAGAGCTTTCTGTCCTGGTACCTTTTGTCTGGGATTTATCCTCATCCATATCAAATTTTTGGAGCAGGACTGCCCATTTCAGCTCCGCAATTCCTGCAAGAAAACATCAGTCTTTTTTCCCTGGAAAGAAACCCCTTACCTTCATGGTTTCTGGTGCAGTTGGTAGGCTAGCCTGGGCACTCCATGGGCAGTAAGCATTCTCTGTCCTAGCATCTGAGCAGACCAGCTCAGCTCAGCTCAGCTCAACAGCCCTTCGAGGCCGTCTGAGATGACCAAGAAAGGAGCTGAGGTTCTTTGTCCGAGATTTATACTGCATGGAGAAGCTTCTCCCTGCTCAGCCCAGCTCAGCCCAGCCCAGCCCAGCTCAGCCCAGCTGCTCTGCAAGCTCTAATCATCTGATCATTGGTTGGAGCTGAGGGCGTTTGTGGGAGATTTAAACTGCTGGGAGAAAGTGCTCCCAGTTCAGCCCAGCTGCCTTGCAAGGCATAATCAGCTCACCAGGGGATGGAGTCCTGGTTGTTTCTGGGTCATATAAACTGGTCCAGGGAGTGCAAGCGACCTCAAATGTGGCCAACAGGAGCAGGCAAATGTGGGTGTGGCTCATTAGGGAGGGCATGGCAGGGCCCAGGTTGCCCAGACAGGGAGAGCAGGAAGGGCACAGCCACCCTCCCAGCTCTCTTTGGTGGCCTGTAAGGTAGGTCTGTGGCTGTGTTTTTGTGGAGTAATACTTGCAATTTAAGTTGAGGAGTTCAAAAACAGAATGAGGGTAATTAAACACTGGAAGGACAACCTTAACCCAATGTCTCTCATGTTCACCTGGTGGCCCACCCTTAGTATTCCATAAACAGCAAGCGCTTTCTGTCCTGGCATATTTTGTCTGGGAGGAATCTTGACCTGTACGGAATTTTGGGAGTCAGAATGGCAGTACCAATACAGGGTTGAAAAAAATAAAGAACAGTCCTTATCCCCACAAAAGAAAGCCTTCAGCATTTGCCTTTCGGATGCAGTTGGTGGGGCAGCCTGGACACTCCGTGAGCAGCAAGAGCTTTCAGTGGTGGCACCTTTTGTCTGGGACGAATCTTCATTTGTATTCAATTTTAGGGAGTGGGGACCACATATGGGAGTGCAGGGCTCATAAAGGGGAACAGGAGCCCTTTCTGCAAGAAAGAAAGCCTGGAAACATTGATTTCAGGTAGAGTTGGTAGGCCAGCCTGGGCACTCTGTGAGCAGCAAGAGCTTACTCTGATGGCACCTTTTCCCTGGGAGGAATCCTCATTTGTATCAGTTTTGGGGAGGTGGGACCATCTATTGCAGCGCAGGGCTTAAATTCAGCAGCCCTGTGCCCCAGGACAGAAAGCCTGTGAGCTTTGGCTTTCAGATGCAGTTGGTAGCGCAGCCTGGGCACTCTGTGGGCAGCCTGGGCACTCTGTGGGCAGCCAGGGCTTTCTGTGCTGTCACCTTTGTTCTTGGAGGAATCCTCATTTGTATCGGTTTTGGGGCTGGGGGGGGCGGCAGTGGTGGGGCGGGGCTGACCAAAGGGGACAGCAGCCCTGTGCCCCAGGACAGAAAGCCTGTGAGCTTTGGGTTGTTTACCTGGAATGTGTGCAGAAGTAAATAACTGGGAGATATTTTTTGCTCTGTAAAAGAGTTGAAAAATAACTTTTGTGCGACCAAATTTATTTTCTAATATAACTAAGAGTTTCCACTACCAAGGTAGGAAAAAACATTGCTAAATGTTATGTTTATCTTCTGAAGATAACGGAATATTTAATATTTTTGAAGCCAAGCACTTCAGTTTTTCCTTCCAGGATGCTTTCTTAGGAGAAATTAAATGTTTTATGTTTGCCTCAAATCACTTTTTTTAAAAATTATTGTTAAAAATAAGAGTAAGTCTTTCTTTTGAATTAAACATATTTTTTTTCTTGCAGTAATTCACAGGCATAAGTTCTGCTTGTGTCACAATCACAAAAGCATTTCAAAAGTGGAAATTTCAAGAATTATTTTGTAACAAGATAAGGACCATAAGGAAGGGTCGCTACCTCACTCTCTCTGAAGTCCACTCATTTTTAGACAAGTGCAGAGACCGATTTCATGCAAAAGAGATTTTACTGTCATGTGGAAAAGGGAACTGAAAACAGCAGAACAAAATAAAACCACTGTGGCAGCACTTCATTGGTATAAACTGGGGTTTTTTTTCTGTATCTGGATAACATTAAATTGCCTGTTTAAAAATAAAATTGAAATGAATAAAACAAAACAATGGCCTGTTTTTTATTTAGCAGCCTTAGTGACATCTTTTTCCTCTAAACTCCAGCTCCTTTAACATCAAGCATCTACCTTTAGTGGTTGCCTGACAATGAAAAAAACAGCAATTCCCAAGGATGTCCTGTCTTATTCCTTTAAGAACACATTAAGAAGCAACCTTTGGAGGGGAACTGATGTCTCCACTTCCTAGAGAGAAAATCAAGTGAATGAGTAAAAGTTGCTCAGAACCCCATCCAACCTGACCTTCAACACTTTCAGGGATGGGGCAGCCACAGCTTCTCTGGGCAACCCATTCCAGGGCCTCATCACCCTCACAATAAAGAATTTCTTCCTAATATCCAATCTAAACCTACTTACTGTCAGTGTGAAGCCATTCCCCCTTGTC